CTACCAAATTCGAAAATGGCTGACATTTTTTGTAAAAACGTAATCTTTGACAACTCAAAAACCAGTGGATGAATTTTGATCTTTTATATCCTGATGCCTAGGAAAAGAGGAGCTACCTTAAGAAGGAACTCTCAAGATGGCAGCTGAATTTCAAACATGCAGCCATCTTGGAAGTTTTTAGATAAATCTTGTCATCGCGATTCCAGGAAAACCACTTGATGGATTTACTTTATATTTTCACACATGTTACTTGGTATGAAGTTCTAGAGCTGATTAACATTTTGGTAGCCATCTTGTGCATTCTGGTGGCCATCTTGGAAGTTTTTAGATAAATCTTGTTATCGCGATTCCAGGAAAACCACTAAATACAAATACAAATTTACTTCAAATTTTCACACATGTTACATGGTAAGAAGTTCTAGAGCTCATTAACTTTGCGGCTGCCATCTTGGATTCTTTCGGCTATTTTGGAAGTTCCTAAATAAATCTTGTCATTGCGATGCCAGGAAAACCACTTAACAGATTTACTTCAAAGTTTTACACATGTTACATGGTAAGAGGTTCTAGAACTGATTCACTTTTTGGTGGCCATCTTGCTTTCTGGGTCATCAAGCCCATGCTATGTTTTAGGTACAATATTTTTCACCCTGTGCCTTGTTTAGTTATCGTCAGATGTTAAGTATTCAGTCAAATTAAGCAAATTGTTCAAGATTATTGTAAGTAAAGTATCAAGAGTTGTATTACTATTATATCATGGACTATTTAATACTTGCAAATGTGGATTGAAATAAAGAATAATAACATGTAATCTTATAATGTGTATTGTGGGGAAACCACATGACTTTCGATTCCAAAAATAGGCACTAGAAGGAAGGATGTGACTCCAAAAGAATCTATAATTGTGTCAGTATTTGAAAATGTTGCCGTCAAATATGTAAATATGGGTTTCGCCCTATTCCAGACCAGTTAGAGTTAGTGGAGCAAGCACAAGCACCAGATATTCCTAAAGCTATGGAGGATCAAGCAGGACAGGCTGAGGACTCAAAACCAAATGTGGACCCTATGTGTAAAGCATTTGTAGAGAAAGTTAAAGAAGAAATCAGAAAGCAGGGGATTTCACAGACAGTATTTGCTGCTGTAGCATTCAACCGTACCCAAGGACTTCTCTCAGAATACTTAAAGAGGGTTGAATATGGGGAAGAACAAAATAAAACTGTGAAACTGAATATGCTGAAGATTCAGGAGTTTTTGTCAAGGCCACTACGAGAGAGGCAACAAGCTTATAGAGACTATATGATGGAATCACCAGAAAAGCGAAGACTGAGACAAGAATATTATGAAGTAAGCGAACTAATTTAATCAAACTGACTTCTTGGTACCTTTTCAATAGTTCAAGTTGTGTTGATATTTGTAATTTGATTTAGTGTCTGTCTATTTCCTCTGAGGACCAGTGGTCTCCACAGGATCTCAATCTAATGGGTGCAAAATTCTCATTGTCACAATTTAGACTAAAATAGGCCTATTTTTCATGATTTTTCTCATTTTTAAATGGGTGTAAATGGATTTTCAGGTGAATGCAAGTGTATTTTCAAAATCTCAGATGGGTGCTGCACCAACTGTAGACTATACAATATTTCTATAGTCACAAGTCAAATGAAAAATATCATTAGTTATGCACGCTACCAAATGGTACAACACAAAAACCTTTTGTGTGAGAGTTATCTATATGTTAATAGCTTTTGTGGATTAAATCTGTCTTGAAATAATCTGAAATCTGAATCTGAAACCAAAAGAAACCAACACTTACACATACACATATTTTATGACTATTTTTCAGTCTGATCTATACACTGCCACCCACACTCAAACTTCTGTCAATGCTCATGCACGTGGAGTTATGATGGAATACTTCAATAAGATAGGAGACACTCCAGACCATGCTGGATACGAAGTCCTTTCAGAGGTCTTGAATCTAGACAAAGATGTTATACAGAGATTTTTCAAAGCTGAACGCTTCAAGAAAGGCTTGATAGATGACAAACAACAAATACAGAAAGATCAGCAAAACATTAATTAATCTCATAGAAATATCAAATCTTTTAACTCCAATGAAAGTCTCTTATTCTTGGCAATTTGTGGATGGATGATATTTCAGAATTGATAGGACATGCTGAGTTTAATATTGCATTTTACAGAAAATTATGTGATGACTGTTTTTAAATAATCTAAACTGGTTGGTTGGGTGCCAAACCACAAATTGCCTCATACAGGACTCCTCATATTACTGAAGAAAAAATGATCTCACTAAAATTGAAAAATTGCATGAAAACTAGATCTCGCTAGACCTCTTGCTATGTATTGTTATTGTTAACATTGGAAAGGGTATGTGAGTTAAGTATTTAAGCCCTGGACTCAGTGCCATGTGGAATGACCATTCAGTGAAGGTGTTGCTTTCCAATATTTTCATGAGATGCAATTTGTCAATTAAGGAAACAGCACCTTAAAAGGAATGGTCATGTTACAATGCATTAATTCTTGGATTTAAATTCCTTCCACACATTGCAAAATATCCTCTACCATATCACTTAAAAGATACAAAATCAATCAAAGAACATATTTTCAAGTTAACTTTTTGCTAGGGTCAAGTTGGCAAAGTATCAATTTCAATCTGTAGAGTCAAGTTGTCAACTTGACAATGACATGAGTGACCTTGAATACAGTGATTGGCGATATAATGCGCTGCTGTTATATGAAATACTGTGTTCGGATTGGCTGGAATCAGACACCCCTTGCCTAGCTATTTGTGAATAGGAATTTATTTAAGCCTTGAGGTCAATCCCCAGGGACAATATATTTTTAATAATATTTGAGAAACAATATGTTATTGTACTTGGGATTTGCTACTCTCTGGAGCTGCCATTTCGTACTTTAATTTTGTGTAAATGTATTTTGTTTCCATATTCACAAGTATCTGGTAACAGTTGTCAGTCTAACCTAGACAGAATATGGATGCCATATAATCACACAGACTGATTCCAATTTTCTGTATAACTTGAGTTTTTGATTTGATGAATAACACAGTTGCATTACTGGTTTTCAATTCAATGTCATAAACGACTTAACACAAGGAAATCATACTGCTTGATAGAAGGCAAAGACAGAAAGAAGAATATTTTTTTAAATGCTTATGCAGTCTTGTATGCATCAGATATTCAACAAAATTTATCTAATTTTTCTCTAAAGTATGGTTTTTGGAGAGAGATTTTTTTCAAAATAAGTGTCCCTGCATGTTTGAAATATTCAAAAAAGGACAAAGAAGGTTCATACACAATAATTTTGAGGTTTTGGTGTATTAAATCTTTTCAAAAGTAATCTACATGTACTGAGCTTACTGGACATTCTGTTTACTCTTTGGTTTAAATCAAATTTGATAAAGATTCTTCTGAAGTTGTTTACTGTACACTGTATTTATATTGTAAACAATTTAATTAACTTATTAACTTCAAGCTGATCATAAATCTCTGAGATACTTGTGTTTCATATCTGCCTTATGACCAGCTATATATAGCACATGATTCAACTACATTGTACAAACAGTAACCTCATGGTTCAGAGTCCTTGTAATTGAGTTATTGGATACTGGAATAATTGAGATACTCAAGTGAATCATTTTTTCAAAAATCTGCCTATTTAATATTACAGTATATAGCACCCTATAGAACCTATACATTGTAAAAATATCCAGGTAATTGAAGACATGTATATATATATTATATTATCTATATATTTTTTTTTATTGTATTAAAGGGATTCTTCACTATAATGTTCTGTTTCGCTTTATTATGTGAGATAAATGTTAAGTATAATACATGCAAAGTTTGAATTTGGCAAAGCAACATTTCTACAGGTTCTTCACTAAGTCTTATGATTGATCAATTGATATCTCAAAAGTAATCATGATTTATCAGATTCTTGTTCTTGTAAGAAAACATTGATCTGATAAGTCATTATTTAAAACAACAGATTTGATTTTATTGCTATGTGTTATCATTTACCTATCAATTCTATTTAATGTCATGATATTGTTAAAGGCCCCATATAAGGTTTAAACCACTTATATTGTAGTATTACCCAATCTTATCAAAGTGTGATATGTGGAACTTTTTTTCCAACTTCAAAAAGTGGTTTTTGAAGGATTTTTTGTTTGAAAAATTGTGAATCTATTTAAAATTAGCTTTGAGGGGACACACATATCTTATAATAAGCGATAACATGATAATTATAAAAACATATTTTCAGACTTTATATGGGGCCTTTAACACTTGAATTAAGAATCCAAAAGTACCTGGTTGCAGGATGTCTCATATGTCAAAAATCACTATAGAATCTGGAAAAGCAAAGGCATTATTCTTTAAGTACAAAATATACATGAACTTTAATTCAAATGAATAAAACGACTTACACAAGAATAAATTCAACAAAACTAAATCATATTTTGTTGTCTAATTGAGTAAACATATGATAAGTTAAACCAACTGGAATTACAAGAGAAGAGAAACAAAGGTGTCTGGACAAGATATGACATGTTTGGCAGCTTGTGTTGGCTTGTTGACAATAAGGAATAGTTTGATAGAGATACTTTATTTGTATAGTTTGAAGTGGTATATTTACCAGATAAAATGATGGCACTGAAAAAGTATTTTAAGGGTGTTGAAATAATTTAACTTTAGGCTTAATTTACAATTTGGCAAAATATCTATATTATGTCTACCCCACTGACAAATTAGCTTCAGGGACAAGTCCAGCAATACTATTTATTTTGGGTGGGGGTAAAAGTTACATTACTTTCTCCAAGCATACACAAGCCTGACTGAGCTGAATCAGTAAATGTTCAATTACATTTTAGGGTCAAGTTCCCTTGAATCCTTATTTTGGTTTTTATTTACCGTTATTGTTATTCTCTAAGACTAAACAACCGCTTCTGCATTGTCTCATTTCAGAACAGGAGAATGAACTAGTTGCTTTGATACCTGTGCGAGATCAGAGACTCAAGCCAAGCCGAACGTAAGATAATATGTACATACAGTAAAGCCTCTTATGTATAAGTGGAGCACCTTTGGTACCTCTAAAAAGTGTCTCACTTGAGATGTGTTCCGTTAATAGAGTTTCATTTAACATTAAGTCAGTTGGTCTTGGGACTCTGAAAAGTGTTCCACTAACAGAGGTGTTCTACTTTACAGGTTTCACTTTATATTACAAGTTTTGTGTATGATATCCATCACACATGTATTTGACAGAATGCAAACCTCAAATGAATTATGTTAACTTTCACTTAAAGTGTTCCTTGTGGCCTTAATTAAGTTTACTTTTTTCTAGCTGAAACTAGTTCTTTAGTGCACCTCAGAGTTGTATATTGTCATTATCATCTAAGTCAGGGTAAATGGAAGGGATAGACACACCTTATAAGGAAACGATCCATTGAGCTATTTCTTCATTTAAATAAAAAATTTCAATTTTTTCATGGTTGATCTGAAATTAAAGGGTCAAATCAGCATGTTTTCATTACTTAACCATGCATGTACAGGGTGTTTCATATGTATGCACCCCCATTAACTCATACATGTAGCATTGCCATCCTATCAAGCTACATATCATTTTGTTCCTTATGGAAAGTTACAAGATATTGCAAAGTTTCGGAATCCAGAAGTGTCCCTGAAAAAAGATACAATGTATCAAAGTATGTGGGTACATGTCATTTTGAGGGGAATTTCTGGTCATTCCAAGAGCAATTTAAAGGGAAATATTTCTGTATTGCACATTTCTAGCAGTTATCATTGTGGCAGAGTTCAGTCCACACGAGTGTGACAGTTATGCACAACGATATAGATAGTGGCTAATAAGGAGGCCAGGAACCATGGTGTGACCTCTATCACTAAAGATGGGTATGAGAGACAAAGTGAACAGATCACTGGACTGAGTCCAAAAATGACCAGAAATTGCCTTCTAAATGGCCCATACTTTGATACATTGTATCTTTTTGAGGGACACCCCTGGATTCTGAAACTTTCGAATCTTATGTAACTTTCCATATACAAAATGATATATAACATGATAGGGTAGCAATGTTACATGTATGAGTTTATGGGGGGATGCATACATATGAAACACCCTGTATACAGGTACTTTGCTGCTACTTGACTGAAGTAGACATTGAATATTCCATTTATGAATTCCAGGAAATTATGGATAGCACTAACTGTGGCAATTGTGCTTGTAATAGCAGGACTTTTTCTGTTTTTCTTCATTCCCCGAAATGTCCAACTCTCCAGTACTCTGCCAACTATAGTGCCAGACCACTCCAGTGTCAATGTGGCAGACCATACAGTATTCCTGCAAATCCAGGTATTATTTTGTATTATATTTATTGCAAACATTATAAAAGAGAAGTTTTAAATTTATTCTAACTTATACGTATTATGGTTTCATAGTCATTACTATGATTGTAGTGATGTTGTGCTTGTTTGTTGTCATGATAACAGGAAAACTACCTGTCAGATTTTCTTCAAAGGCTACCGATCCATTTGGTTACATGTTAGAGAGCAAGGTAGTTTCTCTGAGCACTTGCAGTATCCTTAGTTGATACCATTCCAGTTTTTAGTATTTTTTGCGAATTATCCAAGCAAAAAGCCCCTATTATATGACTCCATGTTCAAAAGCTAACCTATTTAAAATGACCACCACTATATTTTCTTAAGGTCAAACAGTGGTCTTTGAATTCACTTTCAGAATGTGAGCCCAGTGCCCATTTAACCCATGTACATTTGTAATAAAGGTGAATTAAAATACATTTTACTGTTTCAGGTTCAGTACAACCTAACAAATGCCAACTTCTTCAGTGTGGAAGTGAATAACTTTAAGGTGTCTGCCTACTTTAACATGAAAGTCATACAAGAAGTCACTAATGCATCAGTGGTTAGTGCTTTTAGATTTTATTGGAAAAGCCACAATTTTGAGTGAAATGAAATGAGTGAAAAAGTTGAATTATACATTCAACTCAGTGAAAATATCAGAATGGGGCCATAATCCTTGGACCTGCGAGATGTGCTGATAATTCATTTCAAAAGAAAAAGTATCTTTTGTCTTTTCAACATACAAGTATTAACGGCAGTGCGATTTATTGGCTGTGGAAGTAAGATTTTAATGGATGTTTTGATTCTGTTTGTCTGCGTGTCCTTTAAACACATGTGGTAATTATTGAGTCCTCCATGCAGACTGAGTACTTAAAGATGGGTGTTCTGTGTTAAAAAATGCTCCATATATGGAAAGTTTGCTCTGTGGTTTTATCAAGAGACGCTATAGATACGGACATGTGTGTTCTCATCTACAGGTTTTGGTTCCACTGAGAAGTGCTGACCAGCTGACTGTCTTCATGAATCTCACATTCAACAATGAGGAGGGATATATAGCGTAAGTAATGCATTATAACATCAATAATAGACTTGCAATATATGTGAAATGTACAATAATGCATAAATAGAAATGATCATACCAGATACAAAACTTCAGTTGGGCTGTGCAAACTCAAAAGCTTACATCGAGCAAGGTATTTTATCTTGAATTTTCAAATGCTACACAGTCTCATCAATGAAGTGCTCAATGTTTAAGGAATTGCATGTTATTATGTTGCGTCACATACTATATCTCTGAGGCCCGGGTATACTGTCATTTATAAAAAAATCAGTCTTATTCTTATCTATTAACCTTATAAAAATCGGTCTTATTCTTATACATATAAGTAATCTTAGTAAAAGACTATTAATATACATGTATACACCACGCATTAACAACTCAGTACACTAGCGGGCTTTTTAAACATTTTTAACGTATTCCTGGGCCTCAGCTATATCTAGTAGACTGTGTTGGACCGGTGCCCATTCAAGTGGGTGCCACAAGAAATATCATTCTCAAGACAGCAAGGAAACTGATTGTACATTAACTTGAAACTTACAGAGGCAAAGAGACTAATGGCAAAATCTCATTAGGTTTTTTGCAATTTACAAGGCAGCCATATTGCCATTCAGTTGTGATATTTATCAATTAGTCAGATATCTTGTTAATGTATTCCAGAGAATATTGTCAGTGGAGAAAATTCTGGCAACCTTACATCTATGTGAGATTTGTGTAAGTAAACATTATTATACAACATAATATATTAGTATTAGTATTCAACATATTGAATCTCAATTAATGTACTATATATGAAGTGTTTTTTTTATGTCAGTACAGTGCCAAGATGTGTTGACATGTTGTTAACTATAGCCATTGTTTTTTCTTAACCAGCATTCAACATTTAACTTCAGCATCAGCATTCGACAGTCCGTGTCTGTAACAAGTCGTCTCACTTTTGTAACCATTTGCAAAAACATACAATGCGGTGATATTTTGTCATGTTAATTCCTTGTTACATCTATTTTGAGGTTTGCTAAGTTCCAATTCTAAATACCTATTCAAATTGTACTATTCACTCAACTTCCAAAGGTGCAGAATCAAGTGATGCTATTTGTTGTTTTGTTGTTTTCAGGGCATATGCAACATTTACGCTATTGGGTCAATCAGAGCAGTCAGTACTTGAGACATTTCAGCATGTAGTTTGTTTAGGCCCCCCACCAACAACACCCCCTCCGACAACCACCCCCACAACCACCCCCACAACAACAACACTGCCACCAAGCTCAACAGCTATTAAATCTAGTGCTACAAATCTAAGTATCAACTCGCAAGTCTAGTCAAATACTTTAAAAAGTTCATTGTTGACCCTGTAAGTTGGGCTCTATACATACATGACCTATGAGGTTGATAATAACAGTGGATGCAATGACGAACGTGATCACCTATTTTGCATGTATGTTGTCAATTGTTATGTTAATTGTCAAAGAAGTTAGAGCTGTAGTTCAATGACAATGGAGTAGATGTATTATGAATTGTATATGTAAAATGAGTTGTGTATATTGGTCAAACATTCAACATTATGTTTTTATGCACTGACATATAACTCAACAATGATTAGAAATCCCGGTGTTTTATGGTACATTTACATATGTGTAGTATAATTTGATATAGAACAAGTATTTTGAAAAGAAGATATGTATTCTTGAATTTAGAAATTTTATATCTGAAAGCAGTTGCATAAGAAGTATGAATGTTGCACAACTCAGACCTGTGCCAAAATAATTAAGGACGCCTAAAACAATTAGTAGGAATATTTGTAATACCCCAAGGCAGGCTCTTAATGCACATCTCTCAGGGTCCACTTTGAGATGTCTGACAATCTCCAATTTCTAGCTTTAAATTATATATGTCAGGCCCGTAGCCAGGGGGGAGCTCGATGGGTTCGAGCGAACCTCCCCCCTGGCAAAAAAATCTTATAAAATCATGCAGTTTTTCACCATTCTGAGCACTTTTTAAGTGATTTTGGCCAACTTTGGACCAAAATTGTCATAAGTGAACCCCCTGGAATTTTTCAAAAAGTGAATCCCCCTTGGCAAATCCTGGCTACGGGCCTGTATGTCAATGAAGTTTAGATTTTTATAGCAATGATTTTAAAAGTATTATTTATTTAGAAAAACTTGAAATAAATTGATAAAATGTAAAAATAATTGAATTATTAAGAGTTCCATTTTATATGTCACCACCAACCATCATCATTTTCTGTTGCTGTATTTGAAGTGTCCAGTCCAACATGTGTTTGTGGTGACATTTTGTTATGTGAATCATGTTAATGGCTTCTTAGTGAGTAATTTCGTCATGATATTCTCTTCACTCAAGCATCACCACACACTAACCAGACCTCATCATACTGTACATGTATTATAGGCTCCATGAGCTGATCATACCACTAGTTAAATGCAAGAATCACTGATTGTTACGCCTCCTAACAAATTCACAGTATGACAAGGTCTGGTTAGTAACTATAATTGGATATTACAGTATTATAAACCTATCTAACACCCCAGTCACATTTCCTACGGCGACATTGCGGTCTATCAATCTGCGGCCAGTAACATTTCTACGCTCGCCGTGGAATTTCTGCGCTCTCATACTTTTGCAGTCACATTTCCCACGGCAGCCGCACGGTGAATTTTAAATTTCTGTTGATAAATAATACTTTATTTTCATTTTATTTACATCGGGACAACTTATAAATGTTATTCATAGTGCTAGGATGTAATATCAAATGAAAAGTGATCGTGAAACATTGACAAATAATGATTTAATCTTGTTGAGCCAGTTGATTTCTACAGCGACCTCAGAAATGAACAAAAATTATAACTCCGAGTTATAATTTCTACGCCTTCCCTGCGACCTGTAAAAATCTGCAAACGCCGTACGGAGGCCGCAAGGCGAGCGTAGTTTTTCTACGCTCGCCGCAGAAATTCACCGATTTAATTGATCTGCGGTCGACTTGCGGCCGCCGTGCGACAAATGTGACTGGGGTGTAAGTTTCTTTAGAGAGGCATTGTGCAGATTTTTTCATCAAAAGGTAATTTTTTCCCGTTTTGTAGTCGCATTATTTTATGAGCATTTTTAAAATGATGTTGAAAAAATGAAATTTATTCATTGCCTTCTTGATGTATATTTAAAGAAATTACTCAAAAATAAAAACATGATAATTAATATGCATACGTGTTAATTATATAATACAAAATGTAATTTGTCATAATTATGGCAGAATGGAAATTTCCATTTTTATTGGAATGTGCCCCAGTCACATTTGCTCTTCGGCGAGCGTTGGAAAATTGCGGTCTCCAAGTTTTATAGGCCGTATGCTCGCCGTAAAAATTATAACATTTTTTATTTCTGCGGTCACCGTCGAAGTTAACGGGGCCTTGGCCAGACCGCAGAGAGGTTCCACGGTGGCAGCAAGTCGGGCGTACGGGCGACTTGCGACTAATTGTCATTTTTTGATTGCAAATCAATTATAGGCTAGGTGCGAGTAGAAATAATCTTGATTTATGTCATTTTTCAAAATTCAGTCAAAGTGATGTCATATTTGAAATCTACATGTATGTAAAAGTACATCTAGAAATACGGTTTCGAAAAATTGTTTATCAACTTTGAAAATTAAATTTTTTTTGAAAATTGATTCCCCATAGACCCCATGTTTCAAAATCATAAAACGTAAAATATATTTTCTTGTATTGGACAGATGGTATTTTCTTTTACTGGACATATTTTAATTTGCATAGCCTAACTATTAGATATACAAAGGCCGAGCCAGAAGTTCTGATAAAAATGCTGTAAAAGTAAAGGAAAACACCTACACAAATGTGAATGGGGTGTTTTCGTTCATACCTTTGCTTAACACCCCAGTCGCATTTGTCGTACGGAGGCCGCTCGTCGACCGCAGATCAATTAAATCAGTGAATTTCTACAACGAGCGTAGAAAAACTAGGTTCGCCTTGCGGTCTCCGTACGGCGTATCCAGTTTTTTAAAGGCCGCAGGGTAGTCGTAGAAATTATAACTCGGAGTTATAATATTTGTTCATTTCTGCGGTCCCCGTAGAAATCAACAGGCCGTTGCCAGACCGCAGAAAGGTCCAACGGTGGCCACACGTCGGGTTTGCCGTTGACTTGCTTGAACTGCGCTAGGGTTTAATGGGTAATGTGCCTTTGGAAACAGTTTTTATGTCAGTTTTCGGTCATATATTTGCTGTAAACAAAACACTTGCGTATACTATTTGAAATAAGGTCACTGACACCACAGCAACTTATATTTCACTTGCACCTTTTATTTGGCACTATATCTTATCACTACAAACAACATTTATAAATTGTAGTGATGTAGATGAAATAAAAAGAAGAATTAACGTTAATCAACAGAAATTCAAAACTCGCCGTGCGGTTGCCGCAGGAAATGTGAATGTATAAAAGACCGCAGAAATTCTACGGCGAGCGTAGAAATGTTGCTGACCGCAGAAATAGCGTACTCGAAATTGAGAGAAACACGCAGCATAAAATATAGGTATAAGCAGTATGATGTTTATTTTCTTTGTCGATTTTGTGAAGCTACGGCCGCCGTTCGCCCACCGTAGGGAAAATGTTTAAGGTCTCTCTGTGGCTGCCTTGCGTCTAATTTGTCAAAAAACGCCCGCCGTAGGGCAGCCCTACGCTGATCGTGCGTAATCATTTATCAGGCGTGCGGCAATCGTTGTTTTTATGTCTCCTCAAAATCACCGCCGTACGGCTGACGAAGCGAATGTGACTGATTAGTGTTAAATCACCTGACCATAGAAATTCTAATGCGACCGTAGAAATGTACCCTGCGTGCAGAGTCTAGTGAAGACGAAGCTCTCTTATTGCAGTTGGGGTGAATAAACGCATTATACATTTGATATGGACAATGAAATTAATAATTCATCAAATAAATAATAACAAAGAAAGAAACTAGAGACTGCTAGTTGCATGAACCTTCATTTGAAAACCCATGGTTGTTTATGTTATAGACACCAGCGATAAACATGTTCTACTGATGGGACCATGTATTTAGGTCATTCATTTGCATTTTACTTAAATGCATCACAGTAGACTAATGCCTGGGTCACATATGCTCCGATCCGATTATTTTTATATTTAGCAATGAAAATGTCTCTCTATTAGGGGCCTTTTCGTTATAGGATTTAATAGACTTGAAACGTACTTTTATTTCTAAACATTCTAAATATGTTAAATTACATTGATCTCTATTCAAGCATTTCAAGGGCGTTGAACTGCAATCAAGGGTTAATTTAATACACACTGAATAGAAGGATATTTTTTAACATTGCATTTCACTTGTGATGGACAGGTCCTACAGCTGAAAGTTTGTATTGGACTGTTGGATACCATTTGTTGTGAATGAATGTTAAATGCGATAAAAGATGAATTATTTGCATACATTTTCTGTAATATGTTGCTTAATGAGAGGTAAGACATTTAAGATATAATTGATTTATATATAATTAAGATCAGGAACTTCCAACGATAAATACCATCTTATAACTTAGTGTTTTGAAGGCGTAGTTGTTGAATCTCAATGTGTTTCAGAGGAACTGGTTCTTTCATAGACTCTGGGACTAACATAGAATTTGAATGTTAGTCTCAGACTCAGGCATTTTACGTCAACTTGCTCGTGGTATCATCAACTAAACGATTAAACTAAGTACTCAATATAATGTACGTGCAACCCCTTGCATAAGGCATTTTATACCACGAGTACACTCGCTGTGCGATGGGGTCTCGGGTTAGTACCAGTGATATGACCCCACTATAAGGTACCCTGCGCGCAGAGTCTAGTCATAAAGACGAAGCTCTCTTTTAAGAAGTGAAATCGAACGAATGCAAAGGGTAACTATAAGGCATTTTATACCGCGAGTACACTCACTGCGATGTAGTCTGGTTAGTACAAGTGATATGTTTTCTTCCAGTGGCCACGTCAGATCAGCTCTCTCTGGTGAGGGACCTATTCGATCCAGACAATTACAATCCAAATATTAGACCAGTGAAGGATGTCAACACTACAACTACAGTATATATGTCCATGAGTCTGAATCAAATAAGGGAACTGGTATGAATATTAAATTGTAAAAATTGTATATCTCTGATAGTATTTTAATTTTACTAGGGGGTGGGGTGCGGCAAATCCGGAGTAGGGGATTTCAGGGGTAAAAATCTGGGACATTAGGGGTATATATAGGGAATATGAGTAGGGTTATTGGGGAATAAAGAATATGGATTGACCCCTCGACTTTATATGAAAACAAGCAGTATAAAATAAAAAGACAAACAATATTTTGGAATATGAGGAATGGCCACATGCCACACCCCTTCATGTTTAGTACACCCAATGTAAAGGTCATACCTCATTATATACTTGAATGGGTCAATCTCTTTTTGTATACTTGTATTATGGAATATAAAATATAACCAACAAAATTGCATTCCGTTTTGAACAAAATATTCATCGGCTGGGCGCTTCTGTTGAAGATCGGAATAAATGTGACCATGTTATTGATATACAGAGGACATGCCCTGGGAAATGTCTCATAATTGGTCAACCATGGCTACTTATGGTAGTAGCGATATAAACTGTACAGTAAAAAACAAGAGTAGAAAGCAGGGCATATCTGTTTACGTATATAAATCTACATGACTGAAGGTTGTGTTTGCAAATATTTCGGTCTTTTGAATGGGAAGACGAGTCACCTTAAAGATTGGTCAGCTTTGAAGTTAAACCTATTTCTTTTCAGGGTTCAGTAAAAACATCATGTTTTTATAGAAGTGATTTATGAGGAAGCGAGGACAACACTAACTTATAATTTCAGCCACATTAAAAAAGAATATAAATCGTCCATGTGCGTCATTTGAAAAGATCTTTCAAACTAATGTACACCCTTTATATTTCTTTAAGTATGGTCCAATCACATTATGTTTCCTTTATTGCTTTTATATAAATAAAATATAAAGATTAATCTGATGATAAAACGAATTGTTTAGTGGATATAATAGGGATGTTAAAGCTACACGTTTTTAAGGTAACACACCGGAATAGCCTGACATTGACAACGGTCAAGTCATGCCAGATACCGTTGTCACCAATGGCGGACATAACCGTCGCTTCAACTATTTAATCACTTGATCCTCATTTCATGGAATTTTATCGTCACTAATTCTGTGCATGTATTAAGCTCTTGTGATGGTGTTTCATGAAATCCCAATTTCGATCAAATTGGGTCGTGATAACAACTATTTTCCTTATACCTTTATACTCAATTGGACAAATTAATACCACGAAGGGAAGAACTAATCCCCAGAAGTCCTGAATTCTAGTTGAATTTAAAAACGACTCTTAATATCTGTTTCAGGCCGAGACAACACAAACCCTTACATGTGCTATTTGGGTGACATTTGTAAGTACGTTTAACACCAATTACAGACCATATGACATTATCTTGAAATAATTTTGTTTTGCTTTCATTGTCTTCCATACAAAGATACTTATATATAACTTCTATATAAAGGTACTTTGCATTTACTTACTATACAGTGTGTCTCAAAAAACGCAACAAACAAAAACAATTGCAAAATCACGAAATCAGTAATACCTTCATCAATTCCATTTAGTTTACTATGAGGCCATGTGTCTCCTCTTTCCAATGATATGTCATTTATTCATATGTGACCATGGATCACTGAATAATCATTTGGTACAATGGTCCAATATCTGCTCCTTACCAAGTTTAGACATTTCACACTACGACAGAAAATCGCCATTGAGGTCGCTGCTCTCTGTCAGAACCCACAAATGATTCAAAAAGATGTACATGGCATGGAAACAGGAGTAATGTTTCATTAGACAACAGAAATTGACAATGGCTTAATTGTTTTAATAATGCCACTTCTTTTTGCTTGTGTGAAGTGTTGTTAACTAAACTATCATGAATACCTGCCACTATTCTATTCATATTTAAATGAGTTGGTCATAAAATACTAGGTTAATCCGGTAGCCGCTGGCCGTTATTTACATTCCCGAATTCAAGCTAAGTCTGAAATGTATGTTATGTAAGTCTTGTTAAAAAAAGAAAAAAATATCTAAGTCTTAGACCAAAAGTTAATCCTCAGCCCCATTACATAATGTTTTATCTTATTGCATAATTATAGGATATCCTATGATTTTGAGGAATATCATTTTTATCTACGAGGTGATATATATTGATATCTGCACGAGAGAGCAATATCACCGAGTAGATTAAAATGATATTCTGCAAAAAATCATAGGATGTTCTTATTATCCTACACTTACAAGGAGTGTACTAAATGTTTAATATCATTGCAAAATGAATTTCATGCCAAATAGAGTCATTTTATTGGTGGGAAATCAACAAGCGGAGTATATCGTCACAATATCTTCCGCATATTGGGTTTTCCGGAGTATATCGTCACGATATCCTCCGTCCGGAGTATATCGTAACGATGGGTTCTTCATTTTGCCAATAAACATCAAATTTATTTTTTAATGTTATTATACACTAAGTGTAGGATAATAAGGATTAGTTGATTTAGGATATTTCATAACTTTGCACAAAGGCATTTTCACCAATGCCCGAAGAAACATTGATTATTCAGTGGTCCATGATCGAATATGATCAAATTACATATCATTGGAAGAGGAGACATAGGCTTTATGGTAGATTTAATGAAATTGATATTACAGGGTGTCCCGAAAGTATGGGGCCCTAGACAGACATATACCAGTGTCGTCATAGTATGTGTTATATATCATTTGAAAGCTTATCCAAAGTTACATTGATTCGCCAAGTATCATGGTTCAACTCTCAAATGTGAAAAAATTACAGGCATTTGAAAATTTAGTGTTTGGGCAAAATTAAGTTCAATTTTACACCAAATCACTAGTCAATGTGTCCTCCTGGGCCATCTTAACAGCAGCAATTCCTTTCGGGTCGGAGGGATATTGAGTTGGAAAAAGAGAACGGTGACGGAAGAAACTCTAAGGAAACTCTTCTAAAGTCCCTTAACAGGTTTTAAGAGGGTTATAAAATCCCACACCCCTATTTGAAGGGCTTTTAAGGTCATATCTGAAAATAATTGCTGCTGTTAACATGGCCAAGGGGGGACACATTGACTAGTAATGTGGTGTAAAATTGAACTTTATTTTGACAAAACACTAACTTTTAAAATGACTGTAACTTTTTCCCATTCGGGAGTTAAACCATGATACTTGGCAAATCAATGTAACTTTGGATAACCTTTGAAATGATATATGACACATACTATGAGGGCACTGGAATATGTCTGCCTAGGGGGGGCCCCATACTTTCGGGACACCCTGTATTATGACTTGTTTTGAGTTATAACAATGTTTTTGTCTTGCGTTTTTCGAGACGCACTGTGTATGTAAAAGTTAGTAGCTAAGAGACCGGACTTTTTTTTACAAAATTAACACGATAGGCATAAAACCCAAATATATGTAGTTCAAAACAGTTTTAGAAAGTAAATAAAAAGAATTGTTTGATTCATTGTCATGGGAACTCAAACTTGTTGCAAGAAAAAAAGTTGCGATAACCTATGTGGCACTTTTGACGTACGACGTACTGTGCTCTTTGAATACGAGGTTTACGGCCAACGTCGAATGGTGATAACGAAACCTGAAAACATCCATGAAATGGAAAGCTTCACTTGATTTTTTATTTCCTTTAGAATTGGCAAGATGAGTTTCTAGCTTGGGATCCGGCTGACTACGATGGATTAGATATACTTGTAGTACCATCGGACAATATTTGGACACCTGATATGACATTGTACAACAGGTATCTAACTACTCTCCGTTTATATATCCCACTCGTTCAAAAGGTAGCCAGCATTTGCGAATTCAACTGCCGGCTGTCGGCTGGCGGATTAATAGCTAGGGCAAACTCATTTAAACATGAATATAAATAGTAGTAGGCACTATCCATTTCTAAGTGAATTGGCCATAAAAATAGTGATTCATTCGTCAACCGACAGCCGGCAGTTGAATTCGCGAATACTACATTATTAGTGATGAAGATACGGAATGTTTTTTTTATTTACTTGCATTATTATTGTAATGGATTTGTATATATTTTGTTTGTGATCTGTTCATTATATTCTTTTCAATCATGCATCATAATAAAACGACTCCTAGATGAGCAAATGTGTTTTTATGTAGCCTACATGTAGTTAAACCGTTGGGACATTAGTTGTGACACGAAGCCTCCAAATATATACAGTGTGTCAGAAATGTTCAAAGTTTCAGTTTGCAATACTGTATTGATATTACAGACATTCAGCAAACTTCATTCTCGTCGTTGTTTTTATTTTTCCTAAGTAACGTATATTTCAAAATCGGCTTGGAATCTTTTTATCTAGTAATGCGCCTAAATATACCATTGTTTAATTTAGTGTTGATGAAGAAAAAGGCTTCACTGAAATATGGAGTAACACAAATGTGAGGATCGCTCATACAGGCAATGTAGAATGGTTGACTATTGCTCAGACTCAAACTACATGCAGACTGCAAGTCAGTGAATACCCATTTGATGAACAGTTATGCCCGATGAAATTTGGTTCGTGGACGTACAAATTAGTCGAAATTGATGTTATTCCTAAGACGGATAAAGCAAGCATTGACAAGTTTATAGATAATGAAGAATGGGAATTGCTCAATGTTAAAATGATTAGACATGAGCTGGAATATGATGAGGGATCTTTCCCAGACATTACAGCTTATGTGCATATGCGCAGAAAGCCGAATTTCTACTTGTACACGTTACTTTTCCCATGTATATTACTAATGGTAATATCAGTGGCCGTATTTTGGCTACCGGCGGAAAGTGGTGAAAAGGTATCCCTTGGAGTAACAGTATTATTAGCCCTGACCGTGTACCAGTTGATAATAACAGACAACATACCATCCACTGCTGAATACGTGCCTCTTCTGGGTAAGCTACTGTATTTAATTGTAATAATCATTTTGTATACCTATTTCACATCTCAAATTATTCAATATTTAGTCAAAACATTTGTGTTCAAACCAAACGAATTGTTTGAGATTTCATATTTATAGATCTTCCATATATTTATAAACCTATATCTAAAATTCGTAATCTCAAACAATTATTTTGTTAAAACATCATGCATCTTGAGTAACGTTATGTTGTCTTCCTAGCGCCAAGACCCCTGTGTTGTACCCTCCTACACCATTCACCTGTTGCCCATTCTGGCATCATGGCTCTGGCTTGCCTCTTAGATCATGGCCCTATTTTCCCTCCTTTTACATCACGTCCCTGTTTTGCTACTTTTAGTATACTTTTAGTACATAATGTTTTGACTCCTTTGCATCAAGTCCCTGTTTTGCCTCCGTTTGCATCATGTCCCTATTTTGCCTCCTATTGCATCAAGTCCCTGTTTTGCCTCCTTTTGTATCATGTCCCTGTTTCACCTCCTTTGTATTACATACCGGTTTTGCAACACGTCCCTGATTGCCTCCTTTTGCAAAATGTCCCTGTTTTGTCTCTTTTTACAATATGTCCATGTTTTGCCTCCTTTTGTATCATTCCCCTGTTTTGCCTCCTTTTGCATCAAGTCCCTGTTTTGCCTCCGTTTGCATCATGTCCCTGTTTTGCCTCGTATTGCATCATGTCATTGTTTTGCCTCCTTTTGTATAATATCTCTGTTTTGCCTCCTTTTTGCACCATGTCCCTATTTTTCCTCCTTTTTGTATCATTTCCCTGTTTTGCCTCCTTTTGCATCATATCCCTATTTTGGCTCATTTTGTATCATGCCTCTGTTTTGCCTCCTTTTGCATTCTGTCATTGTCTTGCTTCCTTTTGCACCATGTCCTTGTTTTGTCTCCTTTTATAATTTGCCCCTGCTTTGCCTCATTTTGCATCGTTTTCGAATTTTGCCTCCTTTTGCAATATATCTCTGTTTTCCTCCTTTTGTATTATATCCTTGTTTTGCCTCCTTTTGCATCATTCTCTTGTTTTGCCTCCTTTCGCATCATGTCCCTAGTTTGGCTCATTTTGCTGTTTTGTCTGTTTTGCCTCCTTTTGCATCATGTCCCCGTTTTGCCTCCTTTTACATAATATCCCTGTTTTGCTTCCTTTTGCAACATGTCTTTGTTTTGCCTCCTTTTGCAACTTATCCATGTTTTATTTCCTTTTGCAGCATGTCCCAGTTTTGCCTCCTTTTGCATTATGTTTCTGTTTTGCCTCCTTTTGCAACATGTTCTTGGTTTGACTCCTTTTGCAACATATCCCTGTTTTGCTTCCTTTTGCAACATGTCTTTGTTTTGCCTCCTTTTGTAACTTATCCCTATTTTGTTTCTTTTTGCAGCATGTCCCAGTTTTGCTTCCTTTTGCAACATATCCCTGTTTTGCCTCCTTTTGAAAGATGTCCCAGTTTTGCCTCCTTTTGCAACTTATCCCTGTTTTGTTTCCTTTTGCAGCATGTCCCAGTTTTGCCTCCTTTTGCATTATTTTTCTGTTTTACCTCCTTTTGCAACATGTTCTTGCTTTGACTCCTTTTGCAACATATCCCTGTTTTGCTTCCTTTTGCAACATGTCCCTGTTTTGCCTCATTTTATAAGTTGTCCCTGTTTTGCTTCCTTTTGCAACATGCCCCTGTTTTGCCTCCTTTTGCAACATATCCCTGTTTTGCTTCCTTTTGCAATATGCCCCTTTTTTGCCTCATTTTGAAAGATCTTCCAGTTTTGCTTCCTTTCAAACATATCCCTGTTTTGCTTCATTTTGCAACACGTCATCATGTCATTGTTTTGCCTCCTTTTGCATCATGTCCCTATTTTGCCTCCTTTTATATTTTGTGCCTATTTTCCCTCCTTTTGCAACATGTCCCGTTTTTGTTTTCTCGATTCAAACTTACGTATAAGTCATTCAGCACAAAGTTAGACAATAGCTTTTAGAAACGCACTCGATTTGGAATTGGATTCGTGATTAAAGCTGTAATTCATGCATTTAGACCATCGATTTTGTTACATTGACGTAAGTCGTCAATGTAGCATATATTGGTAATATAACAAACTTTCGTCAATGTAACAAAAGCGAGGGGCAAAATATATGAATTGCAACTACATTTACACAACAAATTCTTAATCGAAGAAACCTATTAAATTTGGACTATATTTTCTAGCTTTGTGCCAAATAATAACCTGCAACTTGACTTATAAGTAGGTTTAAATCGAAAAAACAAAAAACTCGTAACCAGGGAGTTCATCCATTTTGTTACATTGACGTTCCGTCAAAGTATCTAGTTGTGGAACAATGGCATAACCAAACTTGATCTAAAATTATTAGTATTCCTCTCCATCCAGGCGAGATATTGTTGAATATTCATATCAACAGTATGCTAGTATGAAAGAGTGATTGATCTATTTATAATGAATGATTTCATTTTCCTTCCTTCTAGCTCAGTTCTTTGGTGCATCGGTTGTCCTTCTGGGCTTTTCTGTGATGTCTGCTGTTTGCATTTTGAATATCCATTTCTATGGCTGCTTCGGGGCGAGGGTTCCAAAACCAATAAGGAAATTACTTTTTGGATATTGTGCTCCATTACTGTGTCTGAAGCCGCATATTCGTGACTTTCTACAGCAGATAGAGGTAATATTTATTTTGCCTCCTAGTAAGAGAATCAAAAATAAGCCTTACCCTTTTTACAATATAATATATATTTATTTTTGTACATGTTTTAGTGTATTAACTACTCTTATAATCAAAAATAAAGGAAATGTGATGTGCTCGTTGTATTATTGAAGTTGTTATATTTAAAGATTTAAACATTAAACTCAGTGTTTTTTTTTCTTAAATAAATGAGAAGCGAACTGTTATACAAGAACACAAATGTGTACAAAATGTCCCCACCAATGGGTGATCCCATCAAATGGTTATCCTGAAAATGAGAAGACAATGGCTGCCTTGACATTTACCCAGAATGTCAAAAAACTAATCTGTTCCTAGATTTTCATACTAAGAATCAACCCTGAAAATATGACATTGATCTACCAAATGGTTCACCTGAAAACGCGTAGACAAGACTTTACAGACAAGATTTTAGGACAGAAAATCCAAAATGGCTGCCATGACATTTACACAGAATGCCCAAAAACTAATCAGATCTAGATTTTCATACTAAGAATCATCCCTGAAAATTTGAAATTGATCTACCAAACGGTTCACCTAAAAACGCGTAGACAAGACTTAACAGGCAAGATTTTAAGACGGAAAATCCAAAATGGCTGCCTTGACATTTATCCAGAATGCCAAAAAACTAATCAGATCTAGATTTTCATACTAAGAATCATCCCTAAAAATTTGAAATTGATCTACAGAACGGTTCACCTGGAAATGCATAGACAAGACTTTACAGACAAGATTTTAGGACAGAAAATCCAAAATGGCTGCCTTGACATTTGCCAAGAATGCCAAAAAACTAATCAGTTCTACATTTTCATACTAAGAATCATCTCTGAAAATTTGAAATTGATCTACCAAACGGTTCACCTGAAAACGCGTAGACAAGATTTTAAGACGGAAAATCCAAAATGGCTGCCTTGACATTTACCCAGAATGCCAAAAAACAAATCAGATCTAGATTTTTATACTAAGAATCATCCCTGAAAATTTGAAATTGATCCACCAAACGGTTCACCTGAAAACAATAGACAAGACTTCACAGACAAGATTTTAGGACGGAAAAATCCAAAATGGCCGACAATAAAAAAGTGATTATGTGTTTTTGCTGATTTCTTCTTACAAAATTATCACATATAACTACTGTTAACAATAACATAGGCTTTTACAACAAAGTACATCTGAAATTATTTATAAAGCTACTAAATAGTTAAAGTATGAAAACTCAAAAACACCATTCAATATGATACAAAGTATTATCGTGCGCTAACTTTTCTTAAGACACTCAAAATGGCTGACATGACTGAGCTAACAGGTCCAAAACCTAATCAGATCTAGAATGAAGTGAGCTGAACAAGATGTTAAAGTTTTAAAAGCAACTGTGAAGCCGTTTTTCTTAAAGTTTGCAGACAAGGATTTTAGCATTTGACTTCAAAATGGCCGACAGGAAGTAGGTATCGAGTTAAAAAATTTTCATCCACATCTGTATGCACTCATAAGTTATCCCTGAAAATTTGAAGGTGATATTTGTAGCGGTTTTGGAGAAAACTCCCGGACGTACGGACAGACGGACGGACAGACGGACGGACGGACAGACGGACGCGCCTAGGCCGACAATATGGCCCCACACTATGTGGTGGGGACATAAAAACGAAACAGATTTCAACTGCAGGCAGACAGGCCATTTTGACATCTGATTTCCAGTTTCCGGATAACTGTTCCAAACGTGTACATTCTGCCTCTGAATCAACTGTCATGTGCCTTGATATTTTAGGAAAACAAATTGGTCTACAATTGATTGAACAGTCACCTTGAAATTGTCAAATTGTTGCAATTAAAGAAATCTAAAACTAGATTATGAAAACACTAGAATCTAAAAGCCATTCCATAAGTTGCAGTTTTAAGAATCCATATTATTTGAAATATCGTGTTCTAATTGACTGGAAAGAATTTGATATATCATGCCGAGTTACACTGTATGATTTATCATTCTCGTAGATGATCTGTCTATATTGTAGTTTTTATGTTTTAAAGGAGATGGAGTCAAAAGAAACAGCAGCTGGGGCAGATGGTAAAACTTCTCATATGCACTACCATTACACAAGACAAGGTTGTATGAACAACGATGTCCCAATTATAAAAGGCGAGATCAAAGACTCTTCTATAGGAGACACTTTAAACAGATCATTGGAAGAACTCAGAATGGCTCGATTAGATTCAAAAGCCTCCAGACAAGAGGAAGAACGTAATGCTATGTATGTTCAAGAGTGGCAACTTGTAGCATGTGTGGTTGATCGATTACTTCTTATTTTCTTTGTAATATCCACAGTTATAATAAGTGTATTGATATTCATAATAAGACCAGGAATTGAAGATCCATATGAAAGGTTGGCAAGAAAGGGGTGGTAGATAATTGATATTTTATCCATATATTTTGATTTATTGGCAATCTTGTAGAGAAAAACTGTCAATCGTGTAATCCGTGAAATTCATAGAGAGGTTTTGAAAGTGAGAAGTCGGACGGATGACCTTTTCAGTATGTAACTTCTAGTATGTAATCTTTTTAGTTTGTAACTTAGAAACAGTAATACACTATTATAATCTTTATCATCTTGAAAAATACTTATGTAGATTTGCATTTCACACAATGGATTAGGCTTACTGCTAACTTTGTCGGGACAAATTAGCGTCGCATCAAATTTTTGAATATTTTTGAATGTTCTAGAAACCAGTTATCAAGCTGGAGCAATAGAACCGGTCCGTCTTCTCGCTGCAAGCAGGATGAAATTCTTTGTCACAAAATTTGGCATTTTTTATAAAATCCAACGCGCGTCATTGAAACTCACAAGATGTAAATAGCATGTCATTTACATCATACCTTGATGGGGAAAAATAGATCTTATATGTTAGAAGTACTAAATAAAAGTTATCGTGAAAATGAGACAGTCGTTCTCGAGAGAAAAGAGCATAAATGCGCATTTAGAGAGTTTTGGTCCGTTTAAAAATCTGTAAAAAATTGGGGTACTTAAAAGCATCGGGAGGCATCATATATCTCAATTTAGACACGAGGAAGTCAATATTGAGCAAGTTATGGCTGTTTTAAATTCACAATGAAATAAAACCGTTAACCCGTACCGGTCCAGCTTTTGACCCGTACCGGTCAATTTTCGTTAGCTGCGTATACCAAGGGTGGTTATGCTCAACACTTTTATTATCAAGCCACCATAATTCTGTCATTAAAAAGTTAAAAACGAAAGAATTCGTTTTAGAGTATGATACGCGAGCGCAATTTTAATAGCTATTATAACTCGACTTCAAATAGAGAAGTGAAGGTTACTCGCCAATAATAGCTTTTATTACTATCACCTATTTGCTTATATTTAAACAGAGGCGTTTTTAACATACAAATGACAATTTATGCTCTATGTGATATTTTGAAAATAAAAATAAAAAACCAAACTATAATTATGGACATTTATTTCTTAGTTTGTCTGTTAGAAACACAAACTTGCAGTAGTAACAGATTGCTTATGATGAAGTCAATATCTAAGCACATCATGTATTACCTACTTAATGTGTGACTTTTTGTAAGTCATACTAAAATGATTTTCGGTGTCTATCATGTCCTCTGTGTCAACTTTGACTTTTAAAGAACAGATCTTCTTGAATAAGCATTATTCTTTAATTTAACAAAACTTCTAAACTTCGTAGTTTTTTTTAATATAATACATTAGGAACACACTGATGCCCTCGCCCCAAATCGGACGAAATTATTAATTGATTAATATCTTTAAGGTCTCATGAAAAGGAAGTGACAAAAACACGCTGGATTTTTGAATTTTGTTGAACAAAGATAACAGAGTTCTATTTTGACCTTAGTCAGTTTAACTAGTTTCATACACTGTTCACATGACCAGAATCACAATGGACACAATGAAAATGTTACTGCAAAACAGTTAAAAGTTGGACTTTCGGAAAGGTCACCGAAGAGAATCTTTTGAATTTTTCAGAAAACGTACCTTATTTATTGCTTAAAATGATAGGAGCTTTTGAAACTTGAAAAGCAATATATTTTCCTTTTTATGACCGCCATTTTTGTTTTAGACAATTTTAAAAAATATTCAAAGTTCCTATTATTTAAGCAGTATATTGGGAACATTAAAAAATCCAAATATTCTGTTTGGTGACCGTTCCGAAGGTTTCAGATTCTATTACCGCCTCACCAAGACAAATATAAATTCACCTGTTCAAAATGAATGTACTGGAATTAATTATTACATTTATATGTACACTAGAATAATGTTGACCTATATTTAGCACTTATATCTTATTTGAAAAAGTTTCAAAAACCAGCATGTTTATGTCACTTCCTGTTTTTGGAATTTTATGACGAAGTATAGTGCGAGCTTGATATATCTATCATGTCTATCTTTTCATCTTGATCCATCAAGGTATTTCATACCGTGTATGGCTCAAAGAATGAACTGGTTTAACAGTATGTATTAGATTAACGGTTAAGGGCCATTTCTTGCCAGACCATTTCTCTTCTAATATGGTATAGCTATAATCAAAAAGATACGTTCCATATTTAGCAAAACACATGAAAACGCTCAACATGGTCAGTATTGATCATTTTAAAATGTAGTACTAATATCGAGTAAGCTGCCATCTTTTCAGATTTCATACAGAAAATTATGCTATCTATACACATACACATGCTGGAAGATATGCTTGTAAAATCAGTAAACCATTACCAAAACTATGGTTACCCTGTAGTAGTGAAAGGCACATTAAAAATGAATATCACCCCCTTCAATCTATTTTTACAGGTTTTTATGATTATTTCACATTTTCTATATTTTGCGTAACCAGAACGCTGAATTTTCTTCATTTTTCTTCAAACATTTCGTCTTACCAACATTTATTATACATGTCAATGTCAAGAAAATCGCGCCGCTACGTTTGAAAATAATTCAAATTATGTCGTTTTTCTCATTGAGCTCCATTATAAAAATCGAATTTTCAAACTTAATATTTTAAAAATCTACGTGGTGAAAAGCTGCATATTGAGTAGTTAGTTAATGTTATGGTGTAAAAAATTCACAACAAAAAGGAATAAAGAAAAAATGCCTCAGAGAAATCTCAATAACAACTTTTTAAGTGTTATTTAAACTGCGTGTCATTGTGTTATATGTAGATACGTTTTCTAGTATGTTATTCAACTGTATTTTTGTGAATTAATTGTTTTTCTAAAATCTTAAGATGAATAAAAAACCGTCCCAAAAATGTATCTTTACTTTGCCGCTAGGCAAGACAAAATTGTGAAACATATTTCCTCTTGTCACAAAAAGGATAATGTTTGTTTTGAGGTGTCTGGTGGTGAGCGTTTCATGACTAAATGCAAAATCGCTGGAGCAGATACCATCGAAAAACATCTGACATTCAACATGTCATATAAGACAACATCGATCTGGTAATAGTTTTCAGAGTTAAAAGTATGGGATAACCATAGTTGTAATATTATGAAGCCACTTTCTACAAATACACTTATTATACAGCACTATTGTCTCGTCAACATTCAAAATGGCAGCGGTAACGGTTACGCGATAAACACGATACAAACATGTCATATTCCGCACATAATGTTTTGCAGTTCTAGGCAAGCATCTCCATATATTCAGTATTTGAAATGTTTTGCAGTTCTAGGCAAGCATCTCCATATATTCAGTATTTGAAATATTCTAATGACGCCCCTTGTATGCATTCGTGCATCAATGTACTCCAATGAAACATCATTCCTTCTATTATTCATTATATTCTGGTTTTGAAAGTCAAATACAGCTCCATGTACCACTGGATTATGATACCAAGTGCATTAGAAATAATGATTGGCACATTTTTATTGTACTTTTATTGAAAATAAAGATAAGATCAATTACCTTTAGTGGTTCAAAAATATACTATCACACTATTGTACAAAACATGATTCTAGTACTATCTCAGAGTGTATAAAACCAGCGAATCGTTCTGTATAATCAGCTTACTTTCTCGCTCCCTGTACTTTTGAACAATTTACATTCCTTGCACCCTGCATTGATCAACTTTTGCAACTTTGTATCCTGTACTATGACATATCAAATATTTTAAATTTAAAACGATGTTTTTCATATTCTTTCTTCAACCATCATATAACTTTGAACATGGACTTCACTCTTGCACCATTGTGAGTTCAGCGAATAACAATATTGACTCACTCCGAGCACAAAACGTATTAACTTGTTGACTAAGCAGCCGATAAACTCAATAACGACCTAAAAATCTCGCACATGCGCGATCGAGGTAGGGTAGTGTGATCTAAGGACAGATCTAGGGACGAGTAACACAACGGTGAATATTTATCTTCTTACTCAAGGCCGGAGTAACTGGAGTAAATACATATACGTTCGTAAACTCTTATCAACGATAAAAAATAGAACGAAGGTATTTTGCTATTAATAGACACAAACAGTATCACTGCGATATATACCGTTCACGGAGAGACAGCTCTCTCAAATTCTAATTAATGATGGCATCGGCAAATAAACAGGTCAGTTATACGTCTGCACATACACCATAGAATAGTTGATTATGAGAGTAATTATAAGATTAAGAATAGTATAGTATACAATTAATTTCATTAATAGATGGGCAAATTTACGATAATTTATATTTTCAAATGTACTTAACTTCTGTTATTCTACCAAAGCCAAGGCCGTGTGTGCTAATGTGCTTTTTTGTTAACAAAAATCAAAGTTTGCTAATATAAACTTAGACAACATGTAATGTAAATAAAAAGGGAAACTTACTACAAAAGAAGAAAGAGGAGATAATCGCAGTTTGGTGAGAACATTTATTTTCTCCAATTTTCGAAAGGACAGTTAGGATTTTGATAATTTGAAAAACTGATGTTTATGTTTGTCTATGTTAGGGCGCAACTCAATTTATGGAAGTTTAGATGTTTTGCAGATAAAGGTGCAATTTGTAAGCGTTTACTTTTCATAAAAGTGCAATTTATAGATGCCAATTGAGATCTTTTTTTTTTCATTTTCATTTGAGCTACATATCTCACACAGACACAATAGACCCATAGGGAATATGCGTGTGGTAGAATAATGTATATTTATGAGTTAGTATCACTCTAGTAATCAATTCTCTGGCATTATCTCGTTCCAAGACTATCTCTACGTTGTAGTCTTGCGAACGTCTTATTCTTTTGTCTGTACGATTACAACATGGGAGAATTTTCTACGCTACTTACACTTAAGATATCTATTTCAATAGATTCCTTGGTATTTTAGCATTCTTTTTGTGTAGTTGAATCCACAATTGTATGGGTTTATCGGCAGAACGAAGAGGTTTTCGTTTTTGATAGCAATATTTGTGTGTAATATTTAACTTATTTCAACCGTCAAATTCCTCCATTCAGTTCCCGGCATGCACCAATCATAAGGGAAATCCCTGGGGAATTCCCCTTCCGACATTTTGAAAATTGCTGATATATTTCCGATGTAAAACCTAAAATATCTTCGTTCTGCCGATAAACCCATACAATTGGCGATCTAACAACATAAAAAGAATTCTAAAATACTCTGAAATGTATCGAGGTAGGTCATTTAATAGTGCAATGCGTAGTTCATTCTCCGACATTGTAGAAAGACAGGCTTACCAATGATACCGGCGTACGACCACAATCTAAAGGGGTCGTAGGATGCGATAACTCTGGCGTACTAGTTAGCACAAGCTGGATCCTGTCGCTGCAGGCTGGGATTGAACCCAGGACTTTGGGGTTTACGAAAAACACCGACCGCCGACCACCGACCACCGACCAGTCACTCTCCACAGTTGGGTACATGTGGTCGGTGGTAGGCTGACGGTCTTTTACATAAAGATGAAAAAATGCAAAATTAGAAGTAAAACTAAAACTGGGAATCCAATGACTATAGTACCTTTACTAGGTCGTGATTTAAAAACGTATAATTAATCATTTCAAATCACGATGAAAACGTTACATCGTCGTGGTGTGTAATGTCATATTTTTAAGTATGTCTCAGTTGTTAGAAGACCAATTTCATCCTGATTAGTCACTTTGGATTATGATGAGAAAACGCACGTAACATTGCATTAGCCTAAGTTCATTCATATGAAACCAATAACAAAAACACACTTACATTGTCGATGTTCACGTCGTAACGTTATGTTTGATTTCTCAGTTGTTAAACGTCAACTGGTAAAAACTACATTTAATATGAGAAAAAAGCTTTCTAATGGTGTTCTGAAATGGTTGGTCACTTTTAATCCCGATAAGAGAAGGCATGCAACATTATATCGTGTTCAGAATTCAGTAGGCTATGACGATAACAAATCATTTTTGTTTCGAAATTGTTAGATTTCAGTAAAAAATTAGGATAGATTCCCGTAGAAACGATAGGTTGGTTAATGATAGGTTAGGACCTAAGGCAGGACAATTAATCGAGAGGAGACGGTCATGCCCAATTTGTTTGCTTGCCATTCGTTGCACGGTACAAAATCGGTAAAAAACGTTGCCTAGTCCAACGATTGACATTCAAAATCAAATTATTAATATTTTAAGGCTACAAATATGTTCGGTCTTTTACATGATATGGTCGGTCTTTTACACATTTTCTTCAAACCCTGTTTTGAGGCTACCAGTGGAAAACACCGACCGGTCGGTGGTCAGTGGGGTCGGTCTTTTTCGTAAACCCAGGACTTTGGCATCGGGAGTCCAGTGTGCTAACTGTAACATCAAAGAACTGAAGACAGATAGAAGTTCATTCTCTAGAAGTGCCTTTAGAGGTGCAATTAGAGTTATAGATGGCGATTTGTAGAAGTTCATTATAGAGGCACATTTCGAAGACTTGCAGTTAAGGTGCCACGGAAGTTAACAGGAAATGACAAAACAATCTTTGAAATTTTAGAAAATTGTCTTATACAAAAATTGCGGTCATAAAAAGGAAAATAGATCGCTTTTCAAATCAGTTTTTTCATTTTTTTTCTTTTTCTATGAATGATATCAAATTTTCAAAGATTGTATCATTTAGGGCAATATATTGGGCACATTTTCTGAAAAATTCAAAAGATTCTGTTCAGTGACCTTTCCTACTCCTAGCTATTTTTCAGTCACATTTTCAGAGGGCTGAAAAGATTATTTCATCATGTTTAGGGTCATTCTGACCATGAACATTGTGATCATGGACCTGTAAATGGTATTTGGAACTAGTTCAATTGACTGGAGGTCAAAACATAACTCGGTTATATTAGTTCAAAAATGTCTAAAAATGCAAATTTTTTTGTCACTTCCTGTTTAACTTCCATGGCACCTTAAGTACAGTTCAGAAAACTGCAATATGTAGATTGAGACTGTTTTTAGAGACAAGATAGTGTCACATATCTTATTGTTCACACATTGCTAACAAATTGCTTGAAAACTAGTACTCAACTTTTAGCCAAGATGCATTTTGAGAATTCAAGAAGACCATCCTAGTCCTGTTATATTGTCCATGGTCACACCGGAATAGCCTGACAACGGTAAAGTCAGATACCTTTGTCACAAATGGCGGACTTAACCGTCGCTTCAACTGTTTAATCACTTGGTCCTCATTTCATGGGATTTTATCGTCGCTAATTCTGTGCGTGTATTAAGTTCTTGTGATAATGTATCATATGAAATCCCATTTCGATCAAATTGGGTCGCGAATCGCCACAATATTGCGTCTTCGATACCGTCAATGACAACGCCGAATTTGAGTAATTTAGAAAGACAACGGCATATGGTGATTACAATGTCCGTTGTCCCGTATCTCATTTTGATCGGTTAGATTAAAGACTTAATTTCGATGGTAGAACATTATAAACTGTACAATGAGTATTAAGACACTTTGATTGATTGTTGTTCCAAAGGAATTTAGTCTAGGTGCTCTATTAAACATACAGTTCATGAACATCTAATTGAAGCGATGGTTATGTCCGCCATTTGTGACAACGTATCTGATCATTTAAAACATTTTATTACCAGAATTTATCCATATTATTGCAAGGGGTCAAATATCAAATTATTGTTCATGTTTTCATGAATTCCATGATTAGAGGCCACATTTGCAAAAAATTCAAAGTATCATTCAGAAAACTAGAATAGAAAAAATAAATATTTAGATGTTTGAAAACATGATCAAATCTGAACCTCTCAATAATGCGTTTTGTGATTCCGTCACGAAAAGAGCAAAAAAAGTTTGTCAAATTTTTCCAGACAAAGAGATATCCTTTCTTACTAAGGATTTACTTTAGATAACATGTAACGCTCCTTTCTGTGAAGTTTAAGGAACACACGACCTCCTTATCCCTTCAAACTACTCGTGACGGAATCACATTTAGTCACCCCACCGAGATATGACTGTAACACTTCACAAGGTGCATTCAATGAGGGATATGACTATAACGATGATATTTTAAATCATTTACATTGACGTGTCGCAAAAAGGTGGCGCATTTGTTTTTTAAGGGTATCGCGTGAATGTAACTTTGATTCCCCGGATTATAAGATAATATTCTAATTAAAGTTATATATCATTTTAAAGCTGTTTCGATGAAGTTTTTAGATCAACTACACTCCGTTCACGATTCTTGCGCTTTTTGACCAAAACATCTGGCAAATATCCCCTGTATTGTATCCAGTATTGCTATTTTCTCACGTGGTACTTTGATGAGTGATGAACCAAACGTGACGGAATCACCTAATTTCCCATTGATTTTTACAATGTCACTTTTGACAGGGGAATTCAAAAGAGGTTATGGTTCCTGATGCCGTACGACCTACACGACGATATATTCGATGATAATATTCCATTGAATAGTTTATCATTGCACAAAATGTTAATCGTGATATTTCCTACACGGTTCAAAGTCAACTTCTTTTCATTAATTTTCGTCTCGTGATTCCATCACGCTTAAAATTGTGATTCCGTAACGACATTATGATTTCAACATTACAGTGTCAGAACATTGTAAAACACATGAACGGGTTTATTTCGTTGAACTATTTTCTTAACGATAGAATTAAGTCAAAACGAGCACTCCAATAGGTCAAAATGAGCAGGCAATGAAAGACGATGGTAGTAGGGGGCATTTTGTGAAAAAGGACCAGTGATTCCGTCACGGAGGAGAAAAAAGCCCGTAACAATAAAAAAACAATGTACGCACATTTATGTTGACGTTTTTTATAGAAACACAAAACAACTCCGTCTCTAGAAGATCCCATATAACATCAAGAAACCCCTGTATATTTGACAGATTGCGTTTTAAATGTCGTTTTTCGTCAAATGTGTGATTCCGTCACTCTGGAATTCATGTTTTATAAAACATAATACAATAACAAATAGGTAAGACTTATTTCCAATTAAATGTTACAAAGGTTTTGGAGTATTCCAAGGGCATGTCTAATACTCAATTTGAGTCGTATGCAATCGAACACCTTACAACTGGATTGATCGATGAAGATAACTTTAAACTGCGCATGCGTCAAGCTAAACAAAGCATTAATATGACAAAATATAACCACCTTCGAAGGTCATTGAAGGTGACGCAGGTCAACGAAAGTCAGATTGTAACTTCTGAGAACATTTTGACGGTGATTTTGAAAGATATTGGGTCAATTTCAAGCAAGTTGAAAAATACCTTTTTTGACCTTTAATATGTTTGGCAACAGTGTTTGTGATCTAGTTTGATAACCTTGACCTTTTACCTAGATAGTTTTACCTTTTCCGACCTCAGTAAGTATTTTGTCATTAAGCTGGCTTAAATCTTTTGGATCCAAATAATCAATTCAAAAAATCAATTTTTAGACCTTTCAAAGGTCATTGAAGGTCAATTTGAAGCATGTTGAAAAATGCATTTTTACCATTTTTTGACCTCCAATATATTGGCAAAAATATGTTGGAACTCAACATGTTTATAGAGCATTTAAAGTGCAGTGTAAACAGTACTTGTTGAGTTATTGGAGGTTGTAAGAATTTGTTACAAACGCCGCACGAATTTATTACAAACGCCAACTGCCACTTGCCGAACACCACCCGCCGTCCACAAAAAGTTTGAAATATGTGAACCCTTTCTGGTGGTAAAATAACAAAATGTACCAAAATTTGCATTTTGATTCAATATTTCCAGGGACCAAAGCAAGAAATCATCACTGAAGTTAAGACAGCTGATAACCTGAAGATCGAGGACTGCGACTATGTACGGTTTACCATGATTGACTTCCATGGCATTGGGCGAAGCAAACTCGTTCCAAAGTATAATGTTGCAAAGTACATGAAGAACGGCATCGCCTACTGTTCGTTTATAAGTGTTGCTAGCGTCACAAATACGCAGATAACGATGATACCCGAGATTGTAAACACTGAGAAAAACTTCTTAGTTGTTGCTGATCCGACGACGTTCCATTCCGTGCCATGGGCGGGCCAGGGCAAGGTTAAGATTGGAGAAGTGTTATGTAATTCTTATTGGGCGAAAGACGAACCGGCGCTTAATATCGACACGAGGGCAATATGTCAGAAGCAACTGTCAAAGCTGGACAGTTTGGGGTATGAGTTCATGTCAACCTCCGAGATGGAGTTTCAAGTTTTTAAGCAAAACGGCGAGCCAGTCTATGAAGGAAGGGACTACATGATCAATGTTCGTACTACTGAAACGGAGGATATATGGCTGACAATCGATCAGTACATGCAAAGGATGGGAGTTCCCAGTGAGTATTTTGAAGTGGAGTTTGGTAGAGGGCAATTTGAATACGCTCTTATTCCTCAGATGGGTATCAAAGCCGTTGATAATATGTTTCTCTTTAAAAATGGGGTCAAAGAGATCATGATACAGAAAGATTTAATCGCATCGTTCATGACCAAACCTCATAACGTAATAGACATGTACCAGCACGTAAATGGCCTCCATATGAATCATTCCGTGTGGACGAAGGATGGTCGAAACGCTCTTCATGACTCCAAGGCCGACGATAATCTTTCTGAGATCGCCAAATACTGGTTAGCTGGTAACATCAAGCATATGGCCGCTCTGACTGCTCTCTGCGCCCCTACTGTTAACTGCTATCGCAGATTGCATACCGCCGGAGTCCCCAACAACGCCAATTGGGGAATAGAGAACCGACTTACATCGATACGAGTGAAGAACTACGATGAAAAAGCGACGTATTTTGAGCATCGTCTACCTTGTGGCTCGACAAATCCTTACCTTGCTATTGCGGGTATTGTGGCCGCTGGGATCGATGGAATCGTGAATAACCTTGAGTGCCCTCCTCAACTCGAAGGCGATTCTCTCCCGATGACTCTAACAGATGCTATTAAGGCTCTAAAGGCAGACAAGTACATGGTCGACGCACTCGGTGAAGATTTCGTTAATTGGTGGTCCCAGTGTAAGGAGGAAACTGAAATAAATTTCTTACCCGGGACGCGACACGAAGATGATGCCACCTACGAAAAAGAACGCTATCTCTACTTGAATTTGCTGTAGGGCCAAGACATTGAAATCGCGACTGACATTTATACTTATAAACACGGACCTCAGCCAGGTTCCTCCTGGCTAGGCATATACGCTTTTAAAAGCACGATATATAATTATGCCCCTTTACAATAAAGAGGCAATATAGATAACAATTAATACTAAATAATATTTAACTTACCCTTAATCTAACACGCATAAGAGGCGCTTGGTTGAATAAGACAGGCCAGTACGGGACGGGAATAATCCTTGATAACGTTCTTTCCAAAATGTAAACCCACAGAGGTTCATCACAGATTCTCATTAACATAAAATGTACTTTACAGTACTGTTTAGTAAGTACTCAATCTGAGTCAATAAAATTGTAATGAATTGTAATTTAAAACATATTATCCAGAGTGAGGATTTATCTCCACAATACAGGAATAAAACAGTACATTGTTGCTCATATATATACAAGAATGTCTTTTAGTTGTCTACACTAGGCTAGTGCCAGTGTTGATTTTGTTGCATCGTTAGACATTTCTAGCATTTTTGGACATATCCAAGGCATTCGATGTTGTAAATAGGGACTTATTATTCATTCGATTATGGGAGAAAGGGATTCAGGGTAAAGTGTGGAGACTCCTACGGGAACTATACAATGGTGTTCAAAATAAAGTTATATTTGGATCAATTTCAACTGATTGGGAAGAAAGTAGTTCCATTAATAGCCTAAAGCAAGGCTGCTGTCTTTCCCCGACCCTATTCTCCCTTGTAATGTCAGAACTAGTTGAAATGCTCCAAGAAGAATCAACAGGCATTCCTTTCGAGGGGCAAAAAATCCCAGCTCTAATGTTTGCTGATGACATTGTACTACTTGCTGACAATGAAGAGGGTTTAAACAAAATGTTAAAAATTGCAGATAATTTCTCAATCAAATGGGGATTTAAATTTAGCTTAAAAAAATCAAAAGTTATGATAGTAGGAAAACGTCTAGATAAACAAAAAACTTGGATTTTGGGGGACTCATATATTTCCGAAGTTCAGAACTATAAATATTTGGGTATACATATTGACAGGTCCATGAAGGATTCTTTCCACATAAATAATATGTTAAGCTCTAAATCAAAAAGAGTACAAGGAATGATAAGTTCAACCTTAACCAAGCATTGCAATGTTATGCGAGTCAAATTCGGAATTAAAATGCATGATACAATGTTTTTGCCAGCCTTATTACATGGATGTCCCACCTTGATTCTGAATAAGACAACTTGCAAAAAATTCAAATCAATGCAATACAATGTAGCAAGAGCCATTCTCCAGCTTAGATGCCGCCCTGCAAGAGAGGCATTGTTAGGAGATTTAGGATTAAGACCTATTCTAGATGTCATTGAAAAACGTCAAATCGATTATTTTTTATATTTAAAGCACTCTATTAAAGAAGGGTCAGTTCACAAAGCAATTTTCAACACAATGTACAAAAATACATAAATGGTCAGGAAGGCAAGGCTTTCCCCTATTTTGCCAATATTCAGGAGATCCTGATAAAACATGGTCTGGATGGCATCCTTCAAAGGCAGGATGATAACTGGTATAAAACATACATCCAGATCTCAAATGATTTAAGCCATGTAGCTTTCTTCTCTTCAATAGGGGAGAAGTCATCCCTAAATCTTTACAAATGTTTGAAAAGTAATCTCTCTAAGGAAAATTATATGAACTCAGACTTCGATTTCTATGGTCAGAAACTTAAATTCATGGCCAGAACGGGATGTTTTGGCCTTCGCTCCGACCTTCAAAGATGGGGTCAAGGCAATGGTATATGTCTCTTTTGTAACCTCAATGTTAAAGATACTATACAGCATAGACTTTTTGTCTGTCCCTACTTTGGTAGTGATAGGAATGTATTTTTCAATAATGTTGTGTCAAACTGCAACCACCAACTCTCCTCTGACTTTCTAGCAGGAAGTGTACAACTAAAAACATGTTGGGCTCTGGGAGATGACACTTTATTCTTGTGGGGACATGATAATTACGTGAAGTTTGACAAATATGTCAAATTGTTTTTAAAGAAAATACATGTACAGTGCACACAATAGTCGTATGCATGTTTTTAGTGGCCTTTTGCATGATATGTTTTATCCCATTTATATTTTATATATGATGTATTGGATGCACCGATTGAGTGCCGCTGCTCTAAAAGCGTTTTCCAAATAAATAAATAAAAAAAAAAAAAAATATCAACCCGATTGTGCAAACTTAAATCCTAGATCCAATATGGAAAAGTAGATGACAATAAATAGTCATTGGATGAAAAAATGGAAGGGTACGCCCCCTCTACGTATGTGGATGAATAATGTGTGAAGATGAATGCGATTTTTGGCGTATGATTTTTCGTGCAGACCTACCATAGGTTCTGGGTCGATATAAAGATGGCAGCACCAACAGTCGTAGTATTATCTTTTTCTCTAAGAGAATGTTTATAAATAAACACATATCGATCACCATGCCATCTTTATATAAAAATTATTTCTCTTTAGACTATTTAAAGGGGGTTTAAAAATTATTTCTATCGACCTTTGCCTATTTGACCTACTGTACTTATACTGTACACCATTTTAATGTCATAATTTTCGTCACCTGGATTTGAACTAAACACAAATAAAATGACTGAACGCACTTATATTTATGACAACAGAATTTTGTTTCTCTGTAGTAATTGTATTGACTTTCCATGTAAATAGAGAAAGTCGTCTGCACAAGGTCGTGCGAATTTGGAAATGCTCTGTACACATAAGGGCTTTTATTGGCTTAATCAATGTAGTTAAAGCTAAACCCACTAATCGTACGGTTTAAATGATTATTAAATAACTTCTTACATTCAATAATGTCAAGTGATACTCAGGTTTATATGTACTGAATTTGCTGATTTTGAGCGTGTACTCTGCCGGGATTCGCCATCATACCCCATACGGCCTTGAAGAAGCGTACATGAATGACGCAACTCTTTGAATCACGAAAAAATTTGAATCTTTGAATCACGAAAACAGTGAATGACAATGAGGGAATCGAGAACTTATTGTTAATACACTTGTACAACAAAGGTTTACACATCATCAACGAAAATAACAGTAAAATACTGAATTTCATGTTTTTTTCAAAATATTTTTTCAAATTCAAACAGTACGCCTGGGCGTATTTTGCGTACATGGCGATACGCGCCTGCGTCAAAAGGGTATCACCAGGCGCCATTACAGTCAATCTGTAGAGTCCAGTCATCATTATGTCCTAAACGTTGCATTCCGGGTTCACGCGCTGCTTCATTCAACTCATGTCGCTGAGTTCTAAACTTAGATGTTGAATCAACTGTACATCATGACTCGTCCTAAAACATTTCTCAATATTCCACATTCAGATTGTATTTCATTTGTACATGTAATGGTCCAAACGCAATATAAAGGTGAACGGATAATAAAGTCATCAATACAGGTTGAGACTAGATAGTCTTTAAACAGCAACAAATGAAATAAATCATTGGATAAACAAACGTTATTCAATGTAGAATGAAAAAAATAATTATGCCCCCGGTAAATGTCCTTTCATTCGGGAACTTCACCTTGAAATCATATTTGCTTGCAATTTTGTCACACTCACTTTTCTGTGACAGCTGCAGCATTCACAACCAATATGTTCACTTGGCAATATATTTAGAAAATGATGAATGGTATTCAACTCATGTTAATCAAATAAAAAATGTTCACTAGTAGATTTTAATAAATGTATGTGGTATTTTATATTTATCACGGATAACAACCATTTCATTGCTCGATGTTATCAATTTTATTTGATCACATTACATCCTCAATGCATTTGTCACCTTTTGGTAAACGTTTTTTGGTTTGAGATATTTATCACGAAGACATTTAGAAGTTCAGGTCGATTCTTAATTGTCAAAGAAACTCTTATGAGCTTTGAGATTATACTTTGTTTGTATCAAACCCTTTTAGATTAAATTCTCTTCCCTTATATTATTTCGACAGTTAGTACATGTATATAAACCATTTTTGTATTGTGGCGACATCATGATTTGAGGTTTTGGATTCGTTTAAGCGTGCAATGTTTTTCACAACCTAAACGTGAACGAAAAATATTTAAGCGATGCATTTGTAGTCCATTTGTCACCCCTATACATCCAATAGTGAACCTAGAAATTGTTAAAAGTACGATGTTTTATGGTCGATTTATGATAATAAGGGTTTTCTGAAGTGATTTAACTGGGTTGCCCAAAAAGTTTGTTTGGGGAAAAAATGATATAGGCTGATTAGGGAGGGGTGCAATCGCTTAACATGGCGTTGACTATTGACTTAGCGTTTGGATACCACCATATACCTGGTATGTTACCATGGTAATAGATACAAAACATTTCCCCAAAGTTATTTTTTGGGCAACCCAGCTAAATCACTCCAATAATCCCTAATGATAGTGTTTACACAGAAAAACATCATACTTTTAAATATTTATACGTTCAGAAAATGACAAATGGACTATTGTATGGGCGATTGGTTATACGTATAGGTTGGTGTTTCGATTTTAAGCTTATATGCAAGCTTAAACTCCCTAATGGCTCCTCTCCGATAGCTTAGAGGTTCTATTCAACACTGCTTTACGTTCGATCATTGTTTGGGATAGAAGGGATTTGCTTTCCCCATATCTAATTGTGCCCTTAGTTGTTTCGTTTTCCTGCCGTGCTTTGTAACACTTGGCCTTTCTTATTTTGCACACGTGTTCTTACATATTCATCAGTAAATGCCAGAACTGCATGATTACAATTTCAATATATGAGCAGAGACATAAAATTTCAAGATGTATCCAATATCTCGTTTGGAATATTTTACATATAATTATTAGTACAATATGCCATTTTATTACACTTGATAGGCATCGTTGATATTTGTTATCTGGCAGCTTGAAGGGACATTGTATCATATTAAACATCACAATGAGCTCAAAACAGCATTGGCTAGCAAACGACTAACGGGCCAAAGTGAGACGCATCAGTTTTACAATCCATTGAGGTGAGCTGGGACGAGAATATACAAGACTACAATATGGCGTTGCTATATCTGACGCTGCTTGGAATGGTGTTTATTTCCACCGAAGCAGCTTTCGTAGAGATACATCCTTCGAGAATGAGGAGAGCTGTTTCTGTAGATACGGAACGGCTGGATGCTATTGAAGGTAAGAAAATATGATTTTGGTCGTTAGACACAGTCTCTTTGTATGTTCAGAGCATTGTTTTGGGATGCTGTCGACCTTTGTGATTTTAATCTGACCGAGAATTAAATTTCTAATATAGTTGTTTTTCCCCTTTGGGTATAGTACTTTTGGCATCTATTAAAATTGCAAATAGTTTACAGAGATAACACAACACAGATAGCTAAGAATTACACATGCAAATGATTGCAGAAAAACTGGACACGTTGATCAATGATGACAGAACAAGCGCATTGGAACAGACTGTAGAAGTCGTATCGCGCCAGATAATGATGCAGCAGTTGTATGTTGAAGAACGCATCCGTGGTGAAGGGCAGTCCGGTGTGAGGCAGGTAATGTTGAACTCATTATTTTGTGTTTTGAAACATTTCCTAGAGTATAATGCCAATGCGTCTTTCATACCAGTTGGGCCGTACATGTGTATATACCTTCGTTTTTGTAGGTAAGAAATCGGGAAACAGGTTTCAAATCTTACCACCAAAGGTCGTTTGGTGGAGGAGGTGTCGCATCCATACATCAACACAATAATAACATTCGTACGTGTGGACTTGGAGAATTTACAGCAGTTCTCAATGGCGTTGAATTCCGTACTCGACACAACGATTTTAGGCTTAATATGCCGAGCGAAACAAGCACAGAATTCCACAAAATACAGGAGGTGCCTTTCCCTGATATTCCACAAGCTGTCTTAGACCAGCCTAGTGTTGATGGGCAAATATTAGAGATGCGTGAATGGTTCAAAGCTTGGAAGGATCAGGATCATAGTGTTAGGGACTATACGCAGTACTTCAAACCTGTCTTGTGTTATTTAGAAGGCGCCTGGTTGGACCCAGAGGAGAGTCTAGAGTCATTCTTTAGCGACAGGCATTTCTTGGATGCTTCGAGTTGGTTTGATCTCCAAGAAAAAATTAGGTATATCAGCTAATCTTATTATTTATAGGATATCCTATGATTTTGAGGAATATCATTTTTATCTACGAGGTGATATTGATATCTGCACGAGAGAGCAAAGCGAACGAGTGCATATATCAATATCACCGAGTAGATTAAAATGATATTCTGAAAAAATCATAGGATGTTCTTATTATCCTACACTTAAAAGGAGTGTACTAAATGTATAATGTTGCAAAATGAATTTCATGCCAAATAGAGTCAATTTAGGGGGAAATCAACAAGCGGAGTATATCGTCACAATATTCTCCGCATATTGGGTTTTCCGGAGTATATCGTCACGATATCCTCCGCCCGGAGTATATCATCACGATATCCTCCGGTTATTCATTTTGCCAATAGATATCAAATTTATTTTTTAATGTTATTATACATTTAGTACACTAAGTGTAGGATAGTATATTATATCGATAAATTAACGGTTTAGAATAGAGAGGTTTTGCAAAACGTTTTTGAGCTCAACGGACCCGTATCCGTAACGTATTAGGGAGGTAAAGATAAGCGTAAATAACTCATTTACCTATACCTCTACGTAGTTTGTTATTACACTCTGCGATATTTTTCCTAAATTACAGGATTTGTGATACGTAAATAAAAAAGGTGTGGCAATAGCTCGGTCAAATACAATATTTGGCTGGATGGATTTCAGTCAAGCTTGATATGACAAAGTGAATCACTTATACCATTTGTTCAGATTCTTAATATTCTCAGGACAAAATAAGTAAACGTAAATGGACACACTAATTTCAAATACAGAAACAGAAAAACAGAAATGTTTACACATTTTGTAGCATAATGCAGTCACTGCACTTCACTTAATGACAACTATTTCAGCCTATCTGGGTTCAAACTCTTAAATATCCCCCAAAATATAATTTGACACTGAATTGTTTTTTTGTAAACCTAGAAATAATCTTTTCTGGCCTATGGGATATTCTTCATTTTGAAATTGATTTCATGAAATTAATAAATGACCCCTTGGGGATGAAAGGGTTAAATATATATTTTTGCATCCACCAAAAATACTTATGAAGTTGTGATTCTGAAAGCTGACACTCCCAATGGTGTATTGAAATATTAGTGCAGATGAAGTCTTTTATTTGACTCTAGTTTTCACTACTATTAAACACGGATTGAGATGCGTTTATAATTACGTACTTAAAAAACGAACTGCGAAACGAAAATTATCGAAATACGTATTCGTAAACGTAACGAGATACGGATACATTTTAGCTAACCCTTTGAGCGAAACCTCTCTAATGTCTAATTTACAACCGACCAAACAACTTCTCACAAAACAGATAGAAACTACTTTTTATCTTGCATTTTAAACAGAACTATACTTAATTAATTCCTCATTCTTAAGCAATAGTTAAATGACTTGTATTTGCATGTTTACGTCTAATAGCACCCCCTCCACTTTCGCCAGAGCACATAGTTCTTCTTTCCTTCGAGTCTACTTATCCCCAGCGCCATTAACACACCGGAATAGCCTGACAAGGGTAAAATCAGATACCGTCACAAATGGCGGACATAACCGTCGCTTCAACCCTTTAATTACTTGGTACTCATTTCATGGGATTTTATCGTCGCCAATTCTGTGCATGTAATAAGCTTTTGTGATGATGTTTCATATGAAATCCCAATTTTAATCAAATCGCCACAATATAGCATCTTCGATATCGTCATTGACAACGGAAGCTGAAATTGAGTAATTTAGAAAGACGGCAAGTGGTAATTGCAGTGTCCGTTGTCCCGTAACTCATATTGATCGGTTAAATTTAAGACTTTATTTCGATGGTAGAACATTATTAACTGTACAATGAGCATTGAAACAGTTTGATTGATTGTTGTTTCAAAGGAATTTAGTCTAGGTGCTCTATTAAACATACAGTTCGTGAAAATCTAATTGAAGCGACGATTATGTCCGCCATTTGTGACAACGGTATCTGACTTTACCGTTGTCAGACTATTCCGGTGTGATTAACGTAATCCCGGGATTGGCTCAGAATGGGGACGCCCATGCACATGTTATTTGTTATTCAATTACGTTTTGCAGATATACCTCATACAGTGGATCGAAGTCAAGACTAGAGAACATTGCCTTCCTACCCGTCTCAATTATGGGTTTCGATAATGCAACCCAACCAGAATTTGCACAATGGAACTATCGCATCCTGTGCCATCCAATCAAGAAGGAAATAAAATTGGACAGACTTCGACTCATCGATGATTTCATGTTCAGATTGGTTCGAAATTTACCAATGGATAAATATGAGCAATCGAGAAACGCAAGGTTTAGACTGAACTCTGATGATACTTCTGACTTTAAAAAACATGCGCGATCTGGACCAACATTACTTGATGAAATTATGAAAGAAATACCAGGTAAAGACAATTATGTTGGGTCACTGACAGATACGACAATAGACGGTGAAGAAGTACTCGATATACATACAAACGATCCCTTGAATGCAGCGTTTTATCACAGATTCTATAGCTCGTCTGTTCCTGATGCCATGGGAGTCAATGTTCTCCGCAGAGCATTTTCCGATGACTCTGTGTTTATGGCAAAGACCTCGCAGAAGAGCGTTAGGGAGATGGCTTTGGAAAAATGTAACAAAGATGAGCCAGACTATGATGCGACAAGATGCATTCTTAAATCTCGCTGGAGCTTCGCTGTTCCGCTTGAAATCATCTGGTTAACCCCACTTAGTAAGTGGAATCCATACAATATACCATACAAAGGAAACGCATACGACAATAACCAGCCAGAACATAAATTCGTTGATGCAAATGGTCGAAATGGTGGCTTCATGTCAAATACTGCTTATAACGGTACCAATCATCAGATTTTCTACCAAACGCCAATAGAGTTTTATACCGGTAAGCCTGCTAAAGGAGGGGACGCTGCTGATACAGCAAAAGATGCCGTTGGAGTGCTGGACCAAGAGGGTAACGTACGTAAGGTAGCTGCATCTGGTACTTACATATTATTACCTGAAATTCCAGGCGTAGGTAGCCTGAGGCAACGTTATCCGATAATGCCAGTACACGAAGAGGGTTCAACTAATTATCAGGAAATGGAAGCACTCCGAGATTTGGTACAAGAGAGCACAACCCATTCGACCTTGTACAGAGAAATGTCACATTTCGCAAACATTGTACAACCTACACCAGGGCCTTTCCAAGCTATCACTCTTGAAACTGGAGTATCCACCTTAAGTCCACATACCCACTTGGTTGAGCTGACAGCGGATGACGTAGAGGTCGCCCAAAATGGAGGAATCGTAGATGTCACTTCTGAGACAAAGAACAGTCATTCACATGCCTTGAAGATAGCATTTTCGACTGGTGAATACTTCATCTGGAGTTGTGATGGAAAGGTTTCATGTGGAGATGGTCATCCTAGATTCCTTGTTGTCCCATAAGCAGTCGACTTTAAAGCAAATTTAAATTATGTTAAAGCGATTTAAGCATTGGAATAAAACTGTATATTATTGCAATCGAAGAGTTTGTTATTATTTAAAGGTCGACTTTGTCATATAGTTAGAAGTTGAAAGTAATACATTATACAGTTATAGGGATTAGAAGGGATAGAGAGGAAAACATGTTGGGAGCAATATTTTGCCAGATTGACATATCGGAACAAATAACGAGCAAAGTGACCCCAAAGTAGGAAGGGGGGGGGGGGGGGGTACGGTGAGATATTCAAATATTTGGATTCTACAATGTTAATATTAATATTAAGAAAGAATAGGTATCGATATGGTGAACTGAATTCAACAATGTTTTTTCTCTTAAACCTATTATTGAAAACATTCTGTAAAAAACACTGTCCTTTATGTAATGTTGACTGATTGGCAACAATTTAGTGCAACAATTATTTATATATATTTTATATGACTGTTTTTGTTAAAGGCCCCATATAAAATTTAAACCACTTTGGCTCATATTGTAGTCTTACCCAATGTTATCAAAGTGTGATATGTGAAACTTTTTTTTTAAATTTCAAAAAGTGGTTTTTGATAGACTTTTTGTTCCAAAATTTGTGAATTTATTTAAAACCAACTTTTAGAGGTCACTCATATCTTCTAATTAGCCACAATTCATACCAATGCATAGCATACATCCTCCCATGTTTTTTGCCGAAAAATTAAGAAAATCGGTTCATAAATAAGCGAGAAATGAACTTATCAGTACATGAAAATGGTTCTGAGAAAAATGCATTTCAAAATTTTACTTCTCATAGAAACCAATGGTACAGTGATATCTAAAACATAATTTGTTCTTCCTTTTAACCTGGTTAGACAATCAACATTGGTTTTTTATGAAAGTCTAACATATTTAGAAAAGATTGACATCGAAAAAAAGTTTTCAATTTTTTTCAAAAAGTTTTTGGTACCTTAGTGACATCACTAATGTTTCAAAATATTTTTGATATGTTAAAACATTGAAGTGGCCCATTTAATATGGCATTTTATTATTGAAATAGTGTGTCCTTTGTTCAACCTATGCATTGGTGTTAAAAAGATAATCTTTTTTGAAATGCATTAAGAAATATTTGATGATTAAGAAATTTCAACTTTTTTTGAAAAATGGCGGGAAATTTGAATATTTGAGAAATGAAATGCTCACAACTTTTTTTTCAAAATTTTTTTTTTGTTCAAAAATCTCTAAAATCACTTTTTAAGTCCTGACAAATAGTAAATGAATGATAAAAATTTTTTTTCAAACTTTAGACGGGGACTTTAACATTTTTTGTTTTTTAGTGCAATTGTTTTTGAACAAGAATGAGAATGAAACAAAATGTCTTTCCGAACCTTGTTGGAACAAAATAGCATATGCAACATTTTCTTAGACCTCTAAATATTATAGTTATACAAAGGAAATTTTGGTTGATGTAACAAAAAGTATGCAAAAACTTAAAACAAAACCCCCAAATAGTTAAAAATTAAGATAAACCTTTTATTTCAAGATACTTTTTTTAAAATCAACCAAACCATTTCATTCCGAACTTATGATACCAATAACCAAAATAGTGTCTGGTGTGTTTTCTAAAACGATATAGAAAAAAGTATTTATATATATTTCAAATTATAATGTTACCATCCAAAAGATGACCATTAAATTGATGATGAGTAAAATTTTCAGAATGTTTTGATAACTGAAGAGAAATTCGTGTCCAAAAAGTTCACCATATCGATACTACTCCTTTACCATTCGAGGTTGCAATTTAGGAGGGGTGATTCCTTAATTCTCTATACAATAATTGTCACTTCAATAAGTGATTAAGACAATTTGTCAATTAAACAATTTAAACTTATAAAAACACCTTTTGGGGTAGTTGTACATGTCAACTACTGACTCCCTGAAAACCTTGAGCCTAATTGGCCAATAGAATCCAAAGTTCGGCTTTCAGACAGTCATGCAAAATCATCATATGCAAAATACCATAATAGGCGCCATGGTGCGAAACCATTGAAACCACTAAATACTGCACTGGTGATTATGTGAGAATTAAAAGTGATCATTAAAATCTCTGGAGTCATCTTATCAAAGAACAACAAGTCATCGTGGATGCTGAACTTTAAAAGTGTAATGGATAAATTAGAGGTAGTATCATTTTCAGGAGATACTCCCAGCAATATCAATAATACTTTAGATGTAAAAGAATATACTATTGACGCATCCGAAGTTGTTTGTAAATCAAAAATTAGTTTTGAAGATTATTGGCGAAATCAATTGAATTCCGACCAATGTCGCAAACTGAATACATACAAAATATTTAAAAGCAATTTCAGGTTCGAACCATATTTAGATTCAGTTTCAAATGGGCATTAACGACGAAGTCTAACAAAGTTTCGTATCAGTAACCACAAATTAAAAATAGAAACGGGTAGATACGAACGCCCAAAATTAAAGATCGATGAAATAATTTGCGAGGTTTGCAATTTAATAGAAAACGAAAAACACATAATGCGTTCATGTAAAAATAAAGTATAGAAAGCAAATGCTCGATAAACTTGTATCACACGAAGTCCTATAGATATTGACATTTGACCTGATGAATGACATTTACCTCAGGTCATCTAATTATGAGTCGTCAAGGGTCGCAAAAGCCTTGATGCAAATGCATCAAAACGCGAAATACTTCAGATGACTCCAAAAAGTTCTCAAATAACATTTTAGACCATTTTATGGGTCAAGGTCGTCTCAAGGTCAAAGGTCAAGATCTAAAAAATTAATGGGTTTATACGCTAATCTTTTTAGGTGAATTGAGCTCAAGGCCAACTTTATGGGTCAAGGACATTCCAAGGTCAAAGTGCTGTTGCGACACTTGGCGACCCATTATTAGGTGACCTGTGGTGAAGGTCATTCCTAAGTCAAAGGTCAATATTTAGGTATTTGGTAATTAAGGTCCTTGGGACGTGCTGCGACCTCTGCCGACTAATGGTAAGTGATCCGATGCCGAGATCAATACCAAGGTCCTCTCAAGGTCAAAGCTCAATATCTAAGTATTTGGTGTTTTAAGGATCATTTGGACATATGTGACCCTTGGCGACCAATGATCAGGTGGGATTATGCGCTAATGTTTTGTTCTCACTCATACAGTAGGAGGACACATTGCCTTAACCCATCAGTTTTATGACGTGCACATCCGCATTGGACTATATCTTTACAGCGGGGATTTCAAGTTTTTGTCAGTGCAGACATAGAAAGTTGCGGTTCTCATACTCGCGCGTTTTTTAATATTTTCATTTGAAACTTGCAGGAACGGTGCTTTGAATCTAGCTCTCTACTCTTTGAAAACGTCATGTATAATCAATACAGTTGAACTATTTATTTTTTGTCGTGAAAATATTATTTTTTTAGTTTATTTTTATTTTACAACTTTTTGGGAAAAAATGTAACAAATTTTTATTTCTTGTCATATTTATCCGATATTTTGTCATCATTAAATTCGAGATTCTTTTTAATGATGGTGCAAATTTCATAACAATTGATGAATTTTTATTATCAGTGTTATGTTTGCCAAAAACGGTGTACCACTGTGCATGTTTCTTTAATTGACGGCACATTTGCCTTTAATTGGGCGAACGTACGGGTCCCGACGCAATAAGCTTTATTTGATTTAATACACTCAAAAATAAAGTTTGCTATCAAATCGGAATGTTCATGAAACATAAACCTTGCCTTTGTTTTCCCAATTCTAAAAGCAAGCCAAATAAACTATGATAATCGTTTGACTCTCGAGACAACAGAACTTGAACATACTAAAATACCTATACTAAAATACATACAAATTAAAGTTACCTATAGTTACGCTTGTAAAGTTAATTACATGTTTAATGGCCTGCTGAGTGAATGTATCTAATCAAATTTGTGACATACCCATAAGATCGTAGATCACGATTCTAAGTTTAAAATGTAATTTGAATTCGTAAGAAGTATTTCTGTTTTAAACTTACCTTTGCTGTCTGAAAAAGATCAATAATCATAGACGGGGATGTTGAAACCTATATTTCCTTTGAATGACCTGCATTTGTACTACGAAATGATCATGTGGAGAAAAGTTGATGAATTCCAAACAGCTAGTTCTAGCAAATCTACTAGTATAAGCTTACTTTCTAAAAGTATTTCAATGTTAAAAATATCTATTCAAATGTTTCATTTTTAAAATAATCTTGGCTTCCCTTAACTTAAATGTGTGACTAATGAAGAATGCTTTTTACCACATCGATACATACTCGATACATGTTATAACGCGATTTTCTTTCATTTTCTACAAAAATGGTATGTTTTCGAACGGTCACTTATGTTAATCTATGACCGTGGTATGATTGAAAATGAAAGAACTGAACCAAGTATTGTCGACTTGTTTGTATTATAAGATTTATTTTGATTGATTTAATCTCTTCTTGAATTTTAAAACTTTTGTCCGAATTACATCTGCTATGGAATTAAAGTTCAAATATACCTCAGAATTGCTTATTGAATTAACCTAGCAATTTATTTGAAAATAATTCTTTACATAGGTTATATATCATAGATCATAGATATGTAAAAAATAAAAATGTGTTTTGAAAGATGAATTGATAACAAACGTTTTCGCACACGTGCCATTTCCACTTTCAGCCCACTTAAAGCACGAAATCCCGTATGACGTAATATAACGAAAATGCGCAGATAATTGATATTTTTTATTTTCATTCATGATCAACTCACATTGACCGTTCAGTTATGAACATGTTTAAAGTTCTCATGTTAAAATAAATAAATATGTGGAAAGGCAATGGTTTAAAGCTTATGAAAATAATGTCAAAATCATAATTCAGTTTTTAAAATAAGATATTGACTTGCATTCACGCACATGTGACATTATCTCTTTTTGTGCGATTCAAACATAAAAATCTCATTACAGTTGTACATAAGAACCAATCTTAGCCATGCCTTTCTAATAGAAGGAACTAAATTTCAATCAAAAAATAATTCTATGTAAAGA